CATCAAAACTATGTTATGAGCCTAATTTTAATCGGGAATCGAGACATATAGGCCTATATTTATATACATATATACATATATATACCGTATATATATATATATATATATGTATATATATATATATATATAATATATATATAATGCCAGAGTTATAACCTTTGATGTCCCGAGATGTGCGTCCTTTTGTTGAATTACCTTGGCGAGAATCAAGCTTGAAATTGCTGTAATGTAAATCCAGCTTAACTCTGGACCTAACTTTACCTTTGAACTAATCACAGTTGCGCGATGTCAAGCAGCACTTAATGGTCGCGTCCGTCTAGTTCAGTGGTCTGTACTGGTCACTCCAGACCATATTTATCAACCGACTCGCATCGTGTGGGACGGTCCCGCATTTCAAACATGTGTGATCATAAATGTGTCACGCATTTAGCACAGGTCTATGCGTGATAACGAATTATCACGAATTCAGGGGAAAATGTATTTAAAATTAGAAGAAAGTTGTTTTATTAAAAATATAAAAGCAGTCATGCAGTAACTTGATTCATTAAACAGTATGTACGTGAATACTTAATTCACTGACGCGTTACTAAAAATTGATATGCCCTATTCATTTTTTGTTTGTTTAAGTAATGAAATGTTGGTGTAAATCGGGTGCTCAACTTAAACATAACGTATCCTCTAGAGGGTGCTGTCATAATCAATACATTACATACATGAAACTCAAATTTTACGTGGCTTTATTAAAAATACTTTTGTTTATTTATTGTCAACAAACACTTCCTGAAGTCATTTTAAAACAGCTTAAAAATGCTCAGATCTTCGGAGAACCAAGGGCACTTTTCGTATGCGTTCAGTTGTTCCGTCCAATAGATATTGTGGTAGTGTCATGGAATGACTAGCTTTGGTCAGTCGTTTTTGCTTGGCACGCTGGACAGGTCCTTGCTCTTGTGTAAAACAGGATTATGTGGGACCTAACTTTACTCTTCTCATTTTAACAGTCACGGGGCGTCCATTGGTAGATTATAGACGGATGCCTATGGTAATTGGTGTCATCATTTAATAATTTCATTTAGTGTTTAATGTGTTCCATATGTGTTTGATCCAATGACCGGGGTAATAATGTGAAGCGCTTAGAGGCTTTGTTAAGGCATTAGGCGCTATATAAGAACGACATTATTATTATTATTATTATCACGACAAGTGTGATGGAGATCACGTGGTTTTATTATACAAATTTCAATAGCAAGTAATTGGTGAATCTGGGTCTTTTGTTAATTATGACGTTAGCTCTCAAAAGACCTACTTAAATAATTTACGAAATGGACTACTCAGATTCAGAATCGATTACCGACAGATGGCGAATTATGACAATTAAAGCCTTGATTTAAACATACCTCCATGATTTAAACTAGCATCCCTTTAACGTTAGGCCTAAACGTAAAATATTTGACTGGAACGCAAGGCCGCGGCTGTTCAAGTATGGTTCAACTAGATATGTTAGTACGTAAAGAGTCTCTGCAATCCACAATGATGAATGGCGTCGTTTCTTGCGTGCGTGTCATTCGCTGGCTGTTGCTTGATCGGTAGGATTCGTTTACTTCACGCGAGGTGGAAAATAGGCTACTACTTCAAATAAGGGTGGGTCTTGAGAAGATTTGTCAGATTGTGCTAGGTCAGTGAGGCGGCGATTTGCTGTTAGATTTAAACATTTTTATGGCGATGAATGCGGAGGTCTAGATACAGTACGTCATTTTGTGCCGATTTAAGAGATTCAACAATCATGCATGGGAATTAAACCTAAATGTCATTTTGATTGTTACATCGAAGTCTGTAAGAAGGCTTTTAAGGGCTACCATGACTCTATTTTTCTCGTAGACCTATATAAAGATTCCACGAATAGCTCTTATTTACAATTAGAATAACAAGAGAAATTTCCGAGTGTGCACTCTTAGGGTAAAAAGTGAATGTAAAGAGGAGACACAGGAACGGCAGACGTAAAAAATGGGAAAACAACAAGAATCGAACAGACGTAATCTACATATATTCTGCAACTTTCCACCAATAGACAGAAACAATGAATGATGAAACACGACCACAATTCAAAGAATACTTGAGAGGAAAGTAGACGAAAGGAGGAGCAGGCCTCTACATTATATGACATTTAATATAGGCCTAATGCGAAACGGAATGTCTACGCGACAGATGGTGACAATTGATAATTGCAGGAAACTTAATGATTAATGGACTCGAGATCTCCAAGTGTGAAATGGACACGTAACACTTATTAGTACTCATGATTGGACTGTTACTCTGTTTTTACCTGCTAAAGCCGTTCATTGTGTCTTTGTGTAAGACCATCAAATGGCGAGTCGAATGGCCGAGCGGTTATTAGGTAGGGGCACCGCAACATCATCCATAATGGTTCGAAAGGACAGTTCTGAAATATTCCCGGATAAGGATTATAAACCGTAGGCCGGCCCAGTGTACACAATTGGGTCATGTGCACTATAAAGAACCCAGTAGGCCTACATCTTTCGATACGAGTTGTAGGTTACCCCGGTGTACTGGTCCATACGTCCCCTGTTGTGGGAGAGTAGCTGATACCGGTTTACCGGCCAGTTCAGACGTGACATGAAGAGACACTTAATTAGGGGATAAGAAAGTTACGGTACTGTGTAAGCTACTGTAAGTGCACGTTTTGAAGCTCTGATCTTCATGAAATATCGCTATAAGTGTAAGACATCTGCCTCTAACTACCGTACTTTATTACCGTACTACCGTAAGAGGTTAAGCGGTATAGTCTCGTGCACATCAGACGTACAAATTAATAAGAACTCAATATTATTCAGAATAGAGTAGAGAAATGTAGAAATGTGTCTCGGTGCAAGCCGCCAGCAACCGCCTCACGTCCCCAGGGGCCTAATTTAAAGTCCCTTTTGATTTTAACAAGGATCGACGACACACGCACACATAGGCATATATTAGTTATATA